CTCCGCCACCCCCTCAAGCCAGGCCCCAGGGCCCTGAGTCGGCCCCCCCCCACCTCAGAGACATCACATACCCCAAGGGACACTTCCTACCTTGCTGGCTTTCACTGTCTTGCCAGTCTGCTGGGAGAGGACAGCGGCGTACTCTGCCTCGGTGAGCTTGCCGGTGCTGAGCCCAATCACTTGGCCTATATACTCCTCTGGGAACTTCAGCAGGCAAAGCACAACAGGCCCAACATCCTCCACTGCCATCCCATCCATGGGGGTGTCCCCCATGGGCAGCGCTGTACGGGAGAGATTGATCCCAGTCAGAGCACAACCCAGCACTGAGGAGGTACAGCTGGAGTTTTTGGCACCCAGCCTCTGAACAGGAGGTGAGGAAGAGCCAATAGCACCTGCAGGGCTGAGCTAAGAGACCATGAATGGCCAGAGCAGCACCGTGACTCAGGTGGATCTGCAGTCCCACCTCTGACCTCCTACAGCACAACTGCAGGGAGCCGAGGTGTCAGAGACACTCTGGGATCTGCAGAGCAGCCCTCAGCACCAGAAACAGGACTGGGACCTCACTTATTTCTTACAGTCCACGAAACAGATCGCAAGGACCATAACACAGCTGCCACTCGCTGTGGTCAAGCTGGCACAGGCCTCTTTTCCCCGTCAGTCTGCAGTCCTGGTGGTTCCTCCACCCCTCAGTGAGCCTCTGCACAGCGGGAGCGGATGAGAACTACTGGACAGTGACCTGGAAAGCGAGAGGTCCCGTCTTACCCAGGACAAAGGTATCTCCCTGCGGGACCTTCTGTGGCTTGAAGATGGAGAGGAAGTTCTCAAAATAGAACGGCAGTCGGATGATCGTGGTGGGAACACCGACTTCCCGGAAGTACTCCTCCACCTCGCCTTTGCCGTCAAAGTGGAGCACCTCCAGCCGGCCCCCTGTCAGCTGCTTCACGTTCTCCAGGCCGCTGTACACGACGTGGCGCAGACCGAGGTGCTTCGACAGGTCAGCCAGCCGCTTTCCCTGCGGGAAGGGTGGAATCGGCCATGAAGAGGAGAATGGGACGTGCAGAGGCTCTCATCATCCCCATATCCCCCCATCCCCTTTGTTGCACTGGGCAGGAGGGCAGCATCCAACACACGCCAGCTGAGCAAGCTCCTCAGCATCTGGCACCCCGAGCCCTCAGCTGGAACCAGGGCCGAGCAGGCCCTGTGAGTTGCTCAGGTGGAGCCAAGTCCTCTGCTTACACCATCCACACCTTCCAGCTTCTGTGCTAGCTCCTCCACAAAGCACCAAATGCCAGCCCTAAAGATCTTATCTTTTGTTTGCTGCCATCCAGGCATGGCAATCATGCCACCTTATGAAATCTGTCCCGGGGTGAACACCGCCCTTGGGGGAGGCCCTAGGATTTCTGAAACCGCAGCACATTTTGGCCTCAAAGCTGCAAGTGCAGAGCACTGCAGGATTGCAGGCAGCAACAGTCCTGGGAAGGCTCTGACTTCACACACTCGCGCTGCCCCCACTGACTGCCCACACTCGTGGCCAGCCTAGTCTTCCCACTCCTGCTGCTCTGACTCCCAGGCAGTGCTCTCTGCCACACCAGGTCTTGTGGCATTTAATGCCTCCCTGCAGGCACCAGATCCTGGAGCCTGAAGGAAACAGGGAACAAGTTCTGACTTTACAAGAGCTGGCACCTGGTTTGTTTGCGAGGCCTCGGGACTTTTCTGGACTGGCCACTTGAACCACTAGGGCTAGCAAGGCTGCACTAAGAGCAGTCCCACAACCCCCCACCCTGATGCCACACGGCTGTCCCTTGATGCCCACGCCCCACGCCC